TTCTAGTCGTACTATCTCTACTAGTACAACATCAAAATTAATAGGAAGTGACTTTAGAAAGTGAAATGAAGGAGATATACATTAAAGACCAGAAAGACAAGTTATAATTTTTGTTTGTGGTGACCAATGAAAGATTTTAGTGTTTTACAGGCCTGAAATATGAAACTTGTTAATACTGCTTTATCAATGATAGTTACAGAGAATAATAGGCTATGAAACATAATTTTGATGTTTTCAGATTTAAGAAATAGTGTTGTACTTTAGAATATATGGTGGAGGTTATCTGTTAACCATACCTCATAACAGCATTTTAGACTTCTTCCCACTGCCTCTTCAAAGCTATAATTTGCTTTATAAAAAAGTACTTTTTCCGATGAAAAGCAAATGGATTTGAGTTCAGGTTTTCTTTACCTCCTGACCTCACATGAGGATTACAAATAAGATAGAGCAATTTAAAAGTAGAAATGCTCATATATAAAATTACAGTCCCAACTTCCCAGGGATATTAGCCTCCATAGATTCCTCTTAGGATATTCATGCTTGGCAGTGCCTTACAGTTGAAAGTATCCTGTGACAAGGCTTTGATGTGTAACTTTAGTAACTAAATTCTCTTGAGTAAGGATGAAAAATGTGTATTATTTGTGTTGAATTTTGTGTTATAAGTAGGGTATGTTGTGACCATTTCTGCTTATGCGTTTTTTAAGTTCTCAGGCAGCTCTGCACTGTCTTTAATGTGCATATGATTTCTCTTGGGCTCTTGTTAAAACATAGACTGTGATTCAGCAGATCTGGGGTGGCCCTGAGAGTCACTACTTCTGAAATGTTCTGCAGGGATACCAGTGTTGCTGGTCCTTGGACCACACTTTGAGTAGCAAGATTATGAGACATACGCATTCTTGGAATTGTCTTGCTTACTTAGACCCTCCCTCTGTCTTAACATCCTCTCTCCTCAAAAGAAAGTCTTACTAAGTCTACATTTGTGCCTTTTTAAAGCTGGCTACTAACAGCCATGTCTTTCCTTTTTTAAAAAATAGCAAAACACCGAATTGCTCATAAACCTCACTCCAAACCAAAAACTTCAGATATTTTTGAAGCAGATTTTGCAAATGATGTAAAATCCAAGGATTTGCTTGCTGATAAGGAACTGTGGGCTCGACTTGAAGAACTAGAGAGACAAGAAGAATTGCTGGGTGAACTTGATAGGTACCTAATGACAAATTATCTTTCCAAGAGAGTTTGTTTCTAAACATATTTGCTTGTTAATCTCTTTCCTCATTAATAAAACATGCTTATTGAAGAAAATATAAAAAGTATAATATAGTAATATAATTAATAATATAATATATTAAAATATCAATATTCCTACCACTCTAAAGCAAATACTCATTCTCTAGAATACTTTCTCTTATGGCTGTGCATTCATGCACATGCCCACGCATGTATTTGTGTGTGTACAGAAATACTTAAAAGCAATATTCATATTTTTTTAATTATAAGATTTCAGCCATATTTTATATAGTGAAGTACTGAGATATATCAGATCAGATAGATTATTTATAATAATTATGGATGTTTTCTATACTACATTTTAAATAAAATATTTTTATACTCTAATCAGGATAATGCTGTATATTTGAATGACTTGTTAAAAAAAAAAACTTTCTGTGGATTTGTTACTGTAAAATGTTTGTCCTTGCTTTCCTTTGCAAACTTTTCTGTTTATTTAGCAGGCAGTTTGTAATCTGGTCAGGTAGTTATATATATGAAAAACTTTTCCAAACTGCTCTTTGAAATACACATTAGCACTCACTTGGAATTGTCAAAATGCTCAATGAAATCTGTTACTAAAGAAGTTCCTATATTATTTTGCTTAAATGATGTACCATATGCACTAATTAGTTTCTGTGAAAAATAGGATGTGAAGCACAAAGGATGCATATCTTTTCTACCATTTCACCTATAAATTCTTAGGTCTTTTTGATTAACTGATACTATTTTATTTTTTTTAGATTGGTCTTGAATCTTGTTATTTTCTTGGTCATGATTCTCTTTTTATTTTTGCATGATCTTATTTCAGTTCTTTTGCATTTTGGTTTTGTTATTTTTGTAAGGTCTTCAAATCCTTTGTAGAAATGAAGCATGAAAAATGTACATGTGTGCGTATAATATAATTATATTCATGTGCATACATATAAATCCTTCATTTATAAAAATTACAATAATACCTGCTTATAAAATGTTCCAAATATAGAAGTAGAAAATAGGAATGTGTTAATGTTCTGGGGCTTTAATTTCTGGTTTTTAAATAGAGAAACATACTCCCTGAGTTTCTTACAAATCTCTTGATTGCATTATTTATATTGTATGTGGCCAATGTCCTTTGGCAAAGATAAAAAAGAAATCATCTATGTTCTACTTAGTGTTTGAGTAACTACAACATACAGGATTAATGTAAGGTTTTTTTGTTAATTTATTTCAAAACATTTTTATACACTTGGAATTCTAGTTAAAAATATATCTTATTCAATCTTGATTTTTCCTCATTGAAATGAACTGAGAATTAGAATATGGAGAATTTTGATGTGTTTGTTTGATCTTGTTAATTTTCTTTTTCTTTACTAGTAAGCCTGATACTATGATTGCAAATGGAGAAGATATGTCTTCTGAAGAAGAAAAGGAAGATCAGAATGTAGATGTGCATGTGACGCATCAAGTAACAGACTCTGTTACTTCCAGCAGCTGTTACAAGGAGGTTACACATTCAGAACTGTTCAGTGGTCAGTTGAATGGACAAGTGAACTCTTCAATGAACGGTTCAAATTCTTACCACAGTAATGAAGATGAAGATGAAGATGAGGATGATGATGATGATGATGTTGGTGGTGATATTGAAAACGAAAATGACCATGATGCTTTGGGGGTTGGAGATCATTCTATACCAACAATATATTTTTCTCATACTGTCGAACCTAAGAGGGTTTGTATAATTACTAATTTTGCATATAATTTAAATATTTAGTATCATCTGTAATATCCCTTAAAAGAACAGTATCAGCAGTGATAGTGCCAAACAAGAAAACTATCTTTTGCCTCTTGTTTTGGCCAATTGATCTAAAAAGAAAAAGGTGGGAAATAGTCTAAAGTCTGGATAGTTGGTTTTGGTGCATTGCTTACTGAAGCCACAATAGAATTTGAATTGTTTGGGGTCTGGAAAGGGATCAGATTTGAGTAGCAACTACTGTAACTCCACCTGTCCTTCCATTCAGTTTTCTTTTGAATTCTGGAGTTAATTATATTGTGGGTGTTTTTGGTGTACAAAGTGGATATTAAAATGACTGCTTTAGTTACGTTCTTAATTATGCCAGGTTGTTTTCTGGGTGGGTCTGACATTAATAGGAGTGTCATGAGCAAAGTGGAAAAATTTAGGAGGAAGTAAAAAGTAGCCCCTTTTCTGATAAATATAAACATCTGTGGATAATCATGACTTTAGAATTTTGTCACTTTAGAGCTGGGGGTTACTTCAGAGGTCTTTTGTTTAGTACCAAAAGACTTTTTATTCCCTTCGTACTTATGGTAGACTCCCAGTATTTAAAACAGATCAAAACAGGTTGGTTCTGATTGGAGGAGGGATAGACGACCTGAAGCCCATTCCCTTGCTCCATAGTGCTGCTCTGAGGAGCAATTGGGAGTTCATCTTTCTCAAGGAGACTTAAGGCCTGGAACTCCATAGACCTGGCGAGTAATAATAAAGCAGAAGGTCTTTTGTCTCAGTGTAGTCTCTACCACAGGCTGTAGCAATGCAGGGATTGCCTAGAGCAGAGGTAAGGGTCTGTGCTATCAGTCTTAAGTGTCTGTGATTATTATCTAATGAAGCATGTTTAAAACATATTTGATATTTCTTAAGCCCCTTAAGTTATCCCTGCTCTAATATGAACTGAAATAATTTATGTTTTATTTATATTTTAATACTTCAGACTAAAGGGAGCATCTTATGAATTCTTTGGAAAAAATTGACCTAATAACCAGAAAAAGAAGTTTGTTTTATGATTATTTTAGGCTTTAAACTTTTTTTTTAAGATTTTATTTATTCATGAGAGACAGAGAGAGAGAGAGAGAGAGGCAGAGACGGAGGCAGAGGGAGAAGCAGGCTCCATGCGGGGAGCCCGACTTGGGACTCCATCCTGGGTCCCCAGGATCACGCCCTGGGCAGAAGGCGGCGCTAAACCGCTGGGCCACCCGGGCTGCCCTAAACTTTTTATTTGCATGTCAAAAAAACGGAAAGAAAAAGTAATATTTGGGGGAATGTTATGAAGAGCAGTCATTAACATGGAAAGTGCAGTATAAATGCCAAGTAGGAATAAAAGAATATAATGATAATCCTGCAAGGTTGTTTTTTGTTTTTTAGTCCAATTTCTAAAAACTATAGAGGTATTTTAAAAGTTCTAAATAGTTAAGTATTATCTACTATTGCTTTTATGACTTAAATTTTATATTCTTACAAATACTGCTTTTGGTTAATTGTGCTCTTTGTTTTGAAATGCATGATTTAAGCCACAAATTTATGTCAAAGTAGTGGGGTGATGTGAAGTCTTATAATCTGTAGTTTAGTTTAAATGTAATATGCTTTCTATACAATAAAAAGTCACTGAAGACTAGAATTGGTCATTAAAGGAGATATAATACAATGCAGTGAAAATATGTTAAGATAAGGACTTCGTAATCCAGTAATGCACATCATTTCAGTGTCAAAAAATTAAAATGGTCTCTCATACTTCTTTATAGAGTTTATTTGTTTTAGTTTTGGCTTTAATTTCTCAAAAGGGAATTTTATGCTGTGAAATTTTTTAGGTCCGAATAAATACTGGAAAAAATACCACTTTAAAATTCAGTGAAAAGAAAGAAGAAGCCAAACGTAAACGGAAGAACAGCTCTGGCAGTGGTCATTCTGCCCAAGAGCTGCCTACTATCAGGACTCCTGCTGACATTTATAGGTGAGTGGTATTCACAGGGAATAGAACAATCTGCTGTTCCCTTCCTTCTTTTTGTAACTGAATATTTATAGGAAAAGGCTGTCTGTAACCCAGAGGGCTGCCTTTCACTGAAAAGTGTATTCTGAGAGAGTTGGCTTAGTATTTCATAGGCTCTCACAGGGGCTCCTAAGCTACCATAGGCTCCCAGGTTAAAGCGGTTGGAAAATTGCATGATTTTTCCCTTTTCCTCCTCTTTGCCAGTGCTTTTAAAACATCCCCAGTCAATCTAGTCAAAAAACATTGTATGTTAACTTTAGAAATCTAAGTTTGTTTCTCTAGTGGGTTGGAGCAGCACTTTTGCTGCCACAGCTGTGAAGATGCTTGGCACGTGGTTTACCTTTCCACAAAATAGGAGTTAAGTGTTGCTGTTCCAGCTTCTTGTTGTGTTGTTTGTTGAGAAAACTATTTGAAAATACCTACTTTCTTTATGACCCATATTTGTAAAATAGTGAAAATTACTAAATTGTCTTCTAAGTAGGTCTAAATTATATGTGGAATTTTGGCAAATCAGCTATCACCCAGAACATGCTTATCAATAAAGTGCTTGTATTTTATTAGACCAAAAAAATCATGTTTTTAAGAATATAAAATACATCATTTGCAGCTACATAATTACTTTGTGAAAATTTTAGATGTAACTGAACAAAACATTTTAGAATAATTTCTGGAAAAGGTTTTTTTAATGAAATCATTATAAATTTATCCTCTGAAAAAATAAATAAATAAATTTATCCTCTGTTTATGAGTTACCTAAAGTGGATGTGTATATTTTTGGATGTTGTAGAGTTTTTGTTGATGTTGTGAATGGAGAATATGTCCCTCGTAAGTCCATCCTGAAGTCTCGCAGCAGAGAGAACAGTGTTTGCAGTGATACCAGTGAAAGCAGTGCTGCTGACTTTGATGACAAACGGGGAGTTCTGAGAAGTATTAGCTGTGAAGAGGCCACTTGTAGTGACACTAGTGAGAGTATTTTGGAAGAGGAACAAGAAGAAAACCATCACAAGAAACTTTTGCCCTTATCAGGAACACCTGAGGTATGTGTATATCTTTATCTCTTTTGTTAAAAAAAATAAGACTTTATTTATTTGCGAGAGGAAGAGAGTGATAGAGAGCATGAGCTGGGGGGAGAGACAGATGGAAAGGGAGAGGCGGACATCCCGTTGAGCAGGGAGCCCGATGTGGGGCTCAATCCCAGGACCCTGAGATCATGACTCAAGCCAAAGGCAGATGCTTAACCAACTGAGCCGCCCAGGCAACCCTGTCTTTTCATATGGTATCTTTCATCAGTTTTTGGGAAATTAAAAAGGTAGTGGGAGCTCCATTTCAGAAGGGCGTATCATTCATTTTCCCTATTTCACATACTTAATATTTGGAGTTGAAAGATACTTCTTTATAAGAGGCTCTCCTCTCCTTTTTAAAAAATTGCAGGTGCTATATCTCCCAGGTAGGGTTTATAAATTACTGATCCTATAATCTTTAAATTATTTTATCTTATATAGTTATTTATTAAAGTTAATCAACTGGCAAATGGCCTTGTTTATCTTACAGCTTCTTTAGTTTATTCATATACTTAATTTCAAAAGTAATGGAACCTAATCCATTCTAGGCTTGTTCTTTTTCAGTAATTAATAGTTTATAAAAAATTAATAGTCACTAGCAAACACATATACAGGTCTTAAATCTCAATATAATTCATGAAAATTTTTGTGGGGGGAAAGCATTACCAATCTTAAAGTTCTGTTTCTGTGAAATAGGTATTTTAAAGTATCTCAGTTTGCATATGTGTGAAATTTTTGGCTAGAATATCATTTAGCAGCTTATTTTAAATAAATTACCACTAGACCAGGGGCGCTTGGGTGGCTCAGCTGGTTAAGCTTCTGCCTTCAGCCCAGGTCATGGCCACAGGGTCCTGGACCCAGCTCCCTGCTCAGAGGGGAGTCTGCTTCTCCCTCTCCCTCTGCCCCTCCTTCTGCTCGTATGTTCTCTCCCTCTTTCTCTCTCTCTCCAATAAATAAAATCTTAAAAAGAAATTACCACTAGACCATAGTCATCTTAAATAATTCGAGTAGATGACTATATTTTATATGCTCTCATTGAGTTAAAAAAGAAAATATATATGGGAGAATATGATCTAAAGTCCTATATTTTGGCCTGTGCCAGTGACATATTTACTTTTTGGGGGTTCTGGAACCATTTTACAATTTAGTGAGAGCTGTAGTTCCTCCCCTCAGAAAAATGAGTGCACGTACATATATACATTCTTATTTACCAAATTGCACAGTTTTGTGTGTGGGGAGAGTTGAGAGATCCCAAAATAAGAATTCCTATCTTTGAAATAAGTCATATGTATGGCTTCCATTATTCCCAGGCATGATTTCTAATTTTTTTTTGTTTTGTGAGTATTTCAGGTTTTGAATTTATAAAATTTAGGAAAACTGGGAAACCCATGACTGTATCAAACTGATATGCCCATTTGTGTATATGTCAAATACATCTTAAAAATATATATGTTTATATATAAGTAAGCATATGCAAAGCTTCTATTGCTTGTACTAAATGGTAACTAAATGGTAATAATTGTACTATATGTCACTGGGGATGGAGATCATTAACATTTAGGGACAGTCTGTATGATCTTTGGAATATTCTCCACTCCATCCATACAGTGATCTCAGTTGGTGTGGAAAGCATCTCATTTAATAGTCTTCCATACTGTTAGAAGAGCAGGTAATGGATGTAGACTTTTGCTATTTTTAAGTTTTTGAAAATTAGATTTTTAATGAGGACTTAATGTAATCATGATATAGCTAGAGTTCAAGACTGGAGCTTAGTTTTATGTCACTCTTATTAGCTTTGCATTTTGTATTGAACTCTTAGCATTCTATATGCTATTCATTTTTTTTAAACATCAAAACAAATAGTTCATGCATATGGTATACTTTGAAAGATACCCTTTTCAGTATCTTTAAATGCTGAAATAATGTCTTTTTTTTAAAAAAAAAAAACATTTTTAATAAGAAGGCTCATGCTCATCAAGAGAAAATAGGGGTTTAAAAGAGTAGACTTTGAATTTCTTTTAAGAACTTGGATTCTGTGGGAAGGAGGGGGCATTCTTTTGTTTCTTTGGTGGGACAAGGTGGAGGGGGTGGCTTTCTAAACTATTCAGGTGATACATTGTCTTAACTAAATTTGTACCCTTGGTAGACAAAGGGAAGCAAAATATACAGGAATGCTTACATGTCAAATTACACTTTATACTAAAAGATGAGGGAATCCAAGTACCAGAAACCTGAAGAATAAAATCATACTGGGGCATCTGGGTGGCTCAGCCAGTTAAGCATCTGCCTTCTGCTCGGTTCATGATCACAGGGGTCCTGGTCAGGCTGCCTGCCCAGTGAGGAGGCTGCTTCTTCCTCTCCCTCTGCTCCTCTTCCTGCTTGTGCTCTCTCTCTTTCTCTCTCAAATAAATGAATAAAATCTTAAAATAAAATCATACCAACTCCTTGGGTTTTATAGATTTTATTTATTTATATTTCTTTTTAAAAATATTTTTTGAGAGTGTGTGTGTGAGAGCACAAGATGGGGGAGGGACAGAGGGAGAGGGAGAAGCAGTCTCTCCACTGAGCAGGGAGTTTGGCCCTGGGATCATGACTGAGCTGAAGGCAGACACTTAACCTACTGAACCACCCAGTTGCCCCTTTATGTAAAAAGATCTTTATGTAAAAAGATACATAAAGATACATCTTTGGTTATATTTCCAGCATTTTGTACACATTACTTTTGCTTCAATTAAATATACAGTTGGCAGGTTAAGTCCAATAAACATCTAGTTGAAATTAACCATTTTTTTGTGGAACATCTGATTTTCATCATTGAATTAATTGTAAATTTTGAGACTGATACTTGTCTCCACTAGTATCAGCACTTAATTTTTCAGTTTACACTGATCTCTTCAATAAAACTGAGGCAAGATGCAATAAAATTCTCAAGTAATTGCATAAATGAACACCACCTAAGAGATGTCACTACTGCTGGAAGTAAGCTACTGGCTAGTGGGCAGGATGGCCTCCATAGGTTAGCTCATTCATCAACTCGTGTGTGACCCGCTCACAGCATTTTTTAGTTCAGTACATTATTTTTCATAGCATGGTCTGGACATAAATGGAATGTGTGAAAGTTTAAGGACCTTTTTATGTACCCATTTTTTTTAATCCCGGATAAAACATTCATTTTACATTTTGTTTTTTAACATGTATACTATAAGAATCTTCTATTTGGTGGTGTGATTAAGATATATATTTTATTTTATTTATTTTTTCTTAAATTTTTTTTTTATTTATTTATGATAGTCACAGAGAGAGAGAGACAGAAAGAGAGAGAGAGAGGCAGAGACACAAGCAGGCGCCATGAACCGGGAGCCCGACGTGGGACTCGATCCCGGGTCTCCAGGATTGTGCCCTGGGCCAAAGGCAGGTGCCAAACCGCTGCGCCACCCAGGGATCCCAAGATATATATTTTAATAGTACTTGATTTCTCTGAATATTTTGTGTATTTCTCCAAAAATCTAAAGAATTTACTTTTAATGAAAAGAAATGTCAAATTGGCAAATACAGGATAAAGATTTTGTGGGCATCTTACTTAGTTTTGTTATCCTAATCTTACTTTTGTCTTCTAGGCATTTTCTGGAACTGTAATAGAAAAAGAATTTCTGTCACCCTCCTTAACACCACACCCAACCATGGTTCACCCTGTGCTACCCACCATTCCAGAACGAAAAGAAGTTCTGTCAGAAGTATCAGAAGAACCTACAAAGAGGGTTTCAAAGTTCAAAGCTGCCAGATTGCAGCAGAAAAACTAGGGCCCGCCTAGGCAATGGAAGTTTACATCCTGGAACCTACGTTTTGCATTTCTTTAGAATCTATATAGCAAAATATGTTACTTGTAGTTTGAAATAAAGCATCCAGAATTCATTTGGCGGCAAGATCTTTTACTATTATCAGTGGATTATTAAAAATCAAAGTAAATGTTTGAATACTTTAATATTCAGCTTGTTTTGTTAATTCTCTTAGTACTGTCAGTATTGTTGTCTGAGTTTTCTTACGATGCACTGGCAGTATTTAGAATTATTTTTCAAAGAGTACTACTGTTCATATGCATTGTTTCTGTGTTTTGAACTAAATGCAGGCAGTTTTGTACCAGCTGTGAAGTTGTGCATACCATATGGACCATTTTAAGGAAACTTTTAAAATTTCAAATAGATTCAACAATTATATTACTTGCTTTAGCATTTTAAAGGCACTTTAAAAAAAATCTACTTCTTGTAGGTTTTGCAGCTAGGTGACTATTTAAAAAAACTTCCCTTTGACGGTCATTCTATTATCTCTGAGGCAGAAGGCTACATGTACCCTATGGGAAGGTTTCTTCGATCGGAAGAATGGTATTTTGTAAAACCATTTTTTTTTCAAGTAAAAATTTTATGAAACTTGGTCTCTAAAATGTTGTGAACTTTATGATTCAGAATCAAATATAGAAATAAATGTCTTTGATTCATAGATATGCTATCTGTACCACACGGTTGTTCCTTGAATTTGTATAATTCCATAGGCCGTTCTTCTCCTTTAGTGTGTTCACTTTTAACTGGAATTATATTTTGGGAGAAAAGGAAAGGTTGTATAGATGCTAAAAAGAAGCTTGGATTTTTTTAAATAAGAAATTTTGTGTTTTAATTTTCCCAACATTTTCATTCTCTAAGGCTACTTTCCTACTAGTAAATAATTGAAATGACATATTGACTGTTAGCAAAAATCCTTAAAATAAAGAGAAATTTATTCTAACATTGAAAATTACACTGCAAGTGTTAATCATTAGCTTGATGCATGCTGAAATGTAGCTTTTAAAAAGCATTTTGCATTAGTACTAAAATAAGCCATCAATGCCAGTCCACCCTCTATTCATGGCTAAATATTTAAAGGTTATTTATAGCTTCTTTAATGAATTCTTGCTTAAACAAAGTGAAATTATGTCCTAGAAAAGTAGAAGCTATTTGTAACTAGAACAGCACAACTGTAAAACTTTTATGAATATGTATTTTAATAATATGGGGGTGAGCCTGAATCTCCACAAGTTAACGGATAATTCAGAACAGAGGACTGATTTTGAAAGATAGCCTGAAAATGTAGAAGATTTGTTCTTTAGTAAGTTTTAATCAACTGTGCATATACTTTTAGTTAGGACTGTTTTTCTCTCAGCCTACCCCCCACAAAAATCAAAGCAAACCAAGAGTACCATCGCGTATACACAAAAGAGCCCTGCCTCCCAGTTGCCGTTCAAGTGGGCCCTGCTAGCTATTCCCCCAGAAACAAACTTTATTGTGGGACTATTGTGATATTCTTTACAGGCATGTGATTTCAAGAGTACTGTCATTAAATAATTTTTCATGATTTGAGCCTGTTGTTTATGTAGTTTTATGTTGCTTCTTGCAAATAAGGTGTTCCCTCATAGAACAAGATGGTAATGGGAGCAAAGAAAAAGTGTTCAGTGACATTTTCTTACGTCCCACTGAAGATCAAATGTAGTGATATGGCCTCATTTCATAGCTTCAGTCTTACAACAAAGTTTCGATTGTAACTTTACATTATAGCCTTATTTTTCATATTAAATTCTTGTTTCAGAGGGATAAAATGAAGCTGGTCATAAATGTTCTCTTTTAAACCATTGTAAAACAGAATAGCCAAAGTTTGTTGTTGTTGTTTTTTTTTTTTTAATTTGGACTAATTTTAGACTTTAGAAAAATTGCAAAAAGAGTGCAGTTTCCATATACCTCTTCCTTCAGTTTCCCCTAGTGTTATAACATCCTGTGTAACCATAATGCAGTGGTTAAAACTGGAATATTTATGTTGGTGCAATACTATTAACTGATCGACAGATCTTACTTGAATTTCACCAGCCTTTTCACTAAGTGTTCTTTTTCTGTTCCAGGATCCTGCGTATGATTCCGTCTTGCATTTATTATTACTCCTTAGCCTCTTCCAGTCTTGACGGTTGGTTGGTTGTTTCCTTTTATGACTATAACCTTTTTGAAGAGTACTGGTCAGGTATTTCGTAGGATGATCCTCCATTTGAGTTTGATGTACTCATAATTATTATTATTATTTTTAAAGATTTTATTTACTTATTCATGAGAGACACACACAGAGAGAGAGAGAGAGAGAGGCAGAGACACAGGCAGAGGAAGAAGCAGGCTCCATGCAGGGAGCCTGATGTGGGACTCGATCCTGGGACTCCAGGACCACGCCCTGGGAGGAAGGCAGGTGCCAAACCGTTGAGCCACCCAGGGATCCCCTGTACTCATAATTAGAATGAGGTTTTGCATTTTTGGCAAGAATACCACAGAGATGCACCAAATCAAGAGATTCTTATCAGAGATGCATTCTAGTGTGTGTGTCATTTCGAGGTCCAAACTTCCGATATGTGAACCCTGATCATTTGGTTAAGGTGGTGTCTGCAGGTTTCTCCACCATAAAATTACTGTCTTTTCCTTTGTAGTGAATAAATACTTCCAAGGAGATACTTGGAGATTATGCAGATTATCTTTTTTTTTTCCTTCTTCTCATACCTGAGCCCACTAATTTTTGTGTTCATTGGCAGGTCTTGCCTGCAGCAGTTATCACTGTGGTATTTGCCTAATGGTGATTTCTGTTCTGCTCTTTCTACCTACCTGCCCACCTGCCTACCTTCCTCTGCCCTGCCTTCCCTTCCCCCCTCTTCGTGCCCTCTCCCTTCCCCTCCGCCATCCATCCCTCTCTCCCTTCCTTCCATCTCTCTTTCCTTCCTTCCTCCTTTTTTCTCCCTAATGTAATCTAATGTGCTGGAGGGGCTCCTGTGAAGCTATTTCAGTGCTTCCATCAAGAATTAATTAGCTTTATCAGCATCAAGATGTCTGGGTACTTTGTTTACATTTATTTCTTAGAATTCTTTTGTAATGAAAAGCTGTGCCACCCCCCCCCCCCGTTTATTAATTTATTATTTATATCAGCATGAACTTGGATATTTATTTTATTCTATGGATTAAGATCCAGTTGTCATTGTTTTATTTGTTCCCATGGTTCTACATTTGACCATCAGGAACTTCTTTAAGTTGGTTCCTGAACTCTTTCAACAAATCTCCGTATTTTTGTTAGAATATTTTGACTCCACAAAATGTTACAGGCTTATCTTGTATTTTTTTCCTGCTCCAGCCTTGAAATCATCAGCCACTTTTCCAGGGAGCCCCTATTCCTTTTATTGGAGAAAGGTGTTTAAAAACCGACATTTCTCATGGGGGTATGAGTATTGCCTTTGTGGTGCCTATTGCTAGAACCCCTTCCTCCGTAGATAGAGCTAGGAAATTATGTATACTAACCAATACATGTGTTTACATTTACATATTTGTCTGTTTATATATATTAAACATTCAAGTTTATACTGACACTTCTGATTTTAATCTAACAGCACAGGATTTGTTCCAGTTTTTCCTTATTTGTGACTTCTTTCTCCTAACAGTGAGAAACCTGGCTCTTATTATCTACAGTGTTATTTGCCTACTTTTTTTTTTTTAAATCTACTATACACCTAAAAGTAGTTTCGGAGTGCTAATCTTTATCCCTAGGAAAAACACACTTATTAACTATGGTGTGCTGTTTAGTTTTTTTTTTTTTTTTTTCTTTAGCTAAGTATGAGACAAGAAACTTTTCCAAAGTTGCTTGGGTTGGGTTTTTATTCTTTCCCACCCCCTTCACTGTGATTGTGTCATTTGTAATACAGTTAAGTTCATTTGTTAATATTTGTGTTCCATTTTGGGTTGTGCACACCCTTGTTGGTGTTACATACCCTCCTTGATGGTAGTGCCTGAAGGCTATGTGATCATCAATGTGATGCTAACAGTCGCATTTATGTAGAAAGGTAAACACGGAGAAGTTTCGCTGTTTCCATTCCCATCTCTCTCTCCTTCCTTCCTCACCTACCTGCTCTACGTAGCCAGTCTCTGTTTTCCCATCTCATTTTGTGTGTATTTCTTTAGCACAAATACATCCATGTGTGTTTTCTTACTCCTTTCTTTCTGGCATGAGGATGACAGGTGCAACTTCCCGATTGCACTTTGATTTTTTTTTTTTCTTTTTCCAGTTAATAGTATGCCCTGGTAATCACCATATGTCAGTTTATAGAGATCTTCCTTTTTTTTTTTTTTTTTTTTAAACAGATCTTGTATTCTCTTGTGTAGCTGTAACATGGTTTATTCAGCACTTTACTACGTATGGGCACTGTTTCTGGTATTTTGCAATCACAAATAATGATGCAGTATCTTCAGCGTATGAGTGTCTTCAAGGGTAAATTCCTAGAAGTAAGACTGATGGGCCATCGGCACAATTACTCTATGATTTCTTCTAAACATAGTAAAAAGTCTGTTTTTAAATATTTGCTTTTTAAAGACATGGTTTTTACATGTTACGTTTGCATATCTACATTTTATTGATGATTCTTTGATGATAAGTTTGGGACACTGTAGTGCCCTAAAGGGATTTCACAATCATTAAGGGATATTAAGTATATAGAGTGGTCAAGTTCATTTTGTTATTATTTTTATTTATTTTACTTTTTTGGGGAAATAGGTCATGCATGTAATTTATAAGAGGTTTCCATTCACTGGAATATTTCCAAATTTTAGAAGTACAGATACCTCATTGTGTTCCATTTGTTTTTCTCTTCTGAGGAACATCTTTTGAAGGATACTAATCTTTATCTGTGTGTTCTTTAGGTCAGTACCAGAATGCCTGTTAAATCCTCAAGTACAGTAGATATTTATGGTTTATATGTTTAATCAGTCGGTCAATATTGTCGAGTTTTTACATTTTACAATGCTTTCTCAGTTTAAATTTCATTTCATAGGAACATCATTAGGATATGAAGAAGTTTTTACATTTCCCTTAATGGA